TGCTGCATAAACTATTTCATTATCTCCCGCAGGCACTTCTCTTTATTGGGCTTCTGTCTGGTAGCTGTTGCAAATACATGCCTCTTCTGATTCTAGACCGATCAACAGTGTTAAATGATCTACCTGTAACCCTAACCTCTCTTCTGTCCGAACCCAGTTGGGAAGTCATTGCAGAGACTTTCACGTCTTATCTTTGGGCATCACTGGTACGCATCTATGATTGGGTCACTCGAGAAGAGGTAGGTGATGATATACAAAGCACACAGCCTATTGATGCTAGTGAGAGTAATATAGCTCCTTTTCTTGTGCGGATAATGCATCATATCTGTGTATCGTTGAAGGATTACTTGCCTTTAGAGAAGCAGCTTAGGCTTGCCAACATGGTTATCATTTGAGATATGGTTTCTCTCCCTGGTTTCCTTCTTTTTTTCGAAGTTTAATCTTGAGGATAAGCTATAATGGGAAACCCAGAAAAGCATTTGATGGTAGGAGTATTTCGAGTTAGTTTTCACGTACCGAGATGGTTTTAAAAGGTGCAATTGTTATTCACTCTGAGGTGGTTGATATAATGAGCATGTAAGTGTGTATGTAAGTTTCACTTTAGGTGGTAGAGTGAATCTATAGGTCTATGAGTATGTATAATATCTTGAGTGGTTTTATCCTCAAAACCAGCTCGTAGATGACATGGATGGTTAGGCAACACAGTATCTTCAACCTTGTAAGCTTCTGTCTTTTATAATAGCTGATTCGTTAATTCTTTTTTCTAACTGAAATGGTATTTAATTTTAAAAAAAATTGTAATCTAAAACAAGCGAGAATATATACATACACAGAAACATTCCATTATAATGTGTTCTTATGATATACTGAGGTTAATGTGAAATAATCAACATAATAGCTTAAATCTTTTATGTTTTGATTTAAGTAAAATTAAAATCAATACCAAAAAGATGTTGCCTGCTGTCTTATAAGAAGTGTGAAACAGGATTTCATATGTTTTTATTTTTTAAAAAATTAATTGTTATTAGATATTATTATTATTTATTCTCAAAAATCTTAAATGTACTTTAATTTATAAACATTAAGGATTAAGTTTTAGGTTAATTTTTTTTTTTAATTTTATGGAATGCAAATAATAATCCATTATTAAAAAAAAATAATATTTTAATAATTTTTAGAAACTAAATAAAAATAAAATAAAATTTAATAAGTATAGAACAAAATTTGAAATAAACTGTGATTTTTGAGTTTTAATTCTTCCAATTAAAATATAACAATATATTTTTATCAAATTTAATTTTACCTAAATTCTATAAAAATTAAATCAAATTATGTTATTAATATGGAATTTTAAAATTAGTAAATCGCAATTTAAATAAATTTTATTAATAAACAATTGGACTCATGGGATTAGAAGAACAACGCGCAAAATTATAAATTATCTTGAACTTTTAATTTAAAAAAATTTAATAAAAAAATAATTAGATAAAATCGAACAATAAAAAATTCATAATAAAACTTCTTTAAAATGTATTCATGAATTATTTATTTATTTATAAAGAAAAACGAATTGATCTGCATTTCCCGGCATACCGGGAGTTGCTACGAAATCTGGATTCCAGGTGCGTTTCTCTCTCTCTCTCTCTCGCCATTAATTGTTAGCTATTTCATGAAGCA